AAGTAATCCCCGGCCGAGATTGCCCGCCACGCGACCAGCCAGGGATAATTAAAGCGGCGAAAGGTTCGAGCCTCCGTTACTCCTAACGACGCAATCGCTGCTAATGTCCACGGTACGTGGATCCGAAGCTAAACGACCCCGAACCTTTTCGCAGATTTTAACCCTTGGACGCGTTTGTTTTCGACCGACCCTCCAACGCGTCAATTATTTTTTTTTGTTTTAACGCACGATATAAGTTTCACGTATCCTTATAAAAATTCGGCGTTTGAGAACGACGATAGAAATCGATGGGAAATCGAGCATCCCCGATGCAGAGTCTTGTTTTTATCAATGAGTGGTGATAGTAGTACGCCATGCGAGAGAAGGTGTTACACCTGGGGTATAGTTAGCCATGGCGCTATCAGGCACCGTGCCTGTGACCTCAGGTCCCACTTACCAACATGCACGAGGTGGGAAAATGTGTTGTTAGAATCATGGGGTGGGGTTGGAACAGGACTGTTCGACTGAAAATGAGGATGGATGGGAAAATTTGTCAAAAAGCCGTCATAATTACTAGAGGGGTTGAGAGAAATGATGATCCAGTTGGGTGAGACGGAGCATCACCGATGCAGAGTCGCGTGCACGATAGCGAGGAGACGTCCGGCGCAAAGTCGCGTAGCTGACTCGTTCTCTCTTGTTCGTGTCTTCCTCGTCTTCTATTTTTTTCCGTGGCTCGTAGTACAGGCATCCTCGTGTCCGGAGCATCTGCGCGTCCACGAACAACGCCGTTCGTCCGTGGATGCATCTCCATCGTGAAATTGATCAGCCCCCGTCCGACGTTCCCCGGAGAACAACCCCGGAAACTTGGCGTATCGCGTACATCGGAAGCGAGCTGCCCCTGCTGCTGCCCTCCTCTCCACAGGACAGAAGGACGGAGGGAAAGGAGGCAAAGAAAACGAGCCAGGCTGGCGGCTGGGCGGCGGAACAGGGGTTGGGGGGATGGCCGTTGTCGGCGATAGCAACGGCCACCGTAGCCGTGGCGGTCCTCGCGGAAAATTCATCCCTCAAGAAAATACAGGCAATAACCTCCGGATCCTCATCGGTGGCGCACGGCTGGCGACGTGGAAGGAGGACGGGGGATGAGAGGAAGAGGAGGACGAGGAGAAGGGGAGGAATGCGAGGGCACGGGGATCGGAGGTAAAGGTGGATGGGACAAGGAGATGGGTGGGGTGGTAGGGTTTGGGGGGGTGGCAGGGCAAAGACGTTGCTGCGTAGGAGATCGGAGTGTTGCGGGAGCAGGACAGGAGAGGAGGGGGTTGGGGAAGGGGCCAGCGAAGGAAGGAGAGCGAAGCCGTCGGGCGTCTAGGCGCGGGCTGGGCGGCGGAGGAAAAGGTGAAGGTGGAGAACTCGGAAGGGGCGGTGGGTTAAAGGTAGCGGGCCAGAGCCTCACTTTATTTTTATGCAGTTATTGATCTCCGTAGAACCCGACACCCGCCGTGCCCACCCTTCTTTCTCCACCTCCTCCTACGCCACCTCCTCGGCCTCAACCTCCTGCCGCCGCGCCTCTTGCCGCCTTCCGCCGACCGAGCCACCCTCTCGCCCTTCGCGAGAGCTAGCCTGCCGGCGAGTAACTAGCTTATCAAAAAATGGGCGTTGCCGCCTCTCACTGTCTCGTTCGCTCTCCTTTTCTCGCCGCCACCCTCGCCCGCTGGCCCCCGTCTCGCCCTCTCTCAAACTTTCTCTTTCTCTCCTCCGCGCCGCTCGTAACCCGTGTCTCCGTCTTATCCACCAACGGCTAGGGCGAGGTCTCCTTTCCTCTGCTTCCAGGGAGCAGGGCACTTTCTCGTCCCCCTCGTTCGTCTCCGGAGCGTGTCTTTCATTGTGGCCCGCACACCTGCCACCGAGCGGGGGTGCCCTCTTTCGCCGCGGCGACGCCGTGTAACGGCGAAATTCTTACTTGGATAATAATTTCGAATCGCGAATAAAAGATGAACAACCGTTTATACGGATCTCGTTATCCCCCCGAGCACGCCCCGGGAGTCTGGAACGCATCGTTGCCTGACACGGATTCCCTTTTTTCGAATAAAATCACGGCATTTTTAAATCGCTGCTCGTGAAATTAAAAATGGAACAAAAATCCGGGAGAATCGGATGGAACGAAATTTTTTGCGAATAATAATTAATTTACAGAATGGACGAATATTTTCTAAACAATCGGGGCGTTACATCGGAATAAAGGTTCGTATTTCTGCCTCATTAAAAATCTACCAGTCGATTTGAATAAATGTCGAGGATGAATTGGGATGTTTTGCTCGTCAGCTATAGTTGGAACAAAATTTTGCCTATCTCCAGAGTTGCAGGTTCCGCGATCCCTCGTCTTTTGATGGGACGAGCGACTCCTGCCGACGCGGACGAAATAAGATATCGGCGAGCGTAGGGCGCGAGGGTGAGAGTCGTCGAGGGTGGACGCGGCGGCGAAAAGGGGGCGAAAGAGGAACGAGAGGGTCGGGAACCAGAGAAGATAGCGGTATCCTACGTTGCCCAGCCAACAGTCCGCCGAACCATCTTCCCATTTTCTCCCAGGGTGTGTCCCCGTGCTTCTCGATTTAGGGTAGGTTCAGGACCGAACCCATCGCTATTTCTTCGTTCCCCCTCCGTTTTCGAGTTTCGCGCTTCCCTCTTCGCACGCTGGCCCTGGCTCCGCGAGGACACTCGTTCTCATTTTTAGAAATGTCCTGTTGGTGTGGTAGTATGAAATTAGCCGTTCATTGCACAAATCGATTAACTCCCTCGAACAAAAACTTGCGAAATACGATGAAATGGCCTCCGAAATAAATTATTTATTATTCGATGGACAACAAAATTTCGTCGTTCGATGATGTTAATCTTTGTTATTCGGGAAAGTTATTACAAATATAAAAAGTTATGGCTATACCAAGAGCCTTGACACTAAGTTTAAGGTTTTTTCAAAAATTGGAGTCGATCGATTTGCGCAGTGAACGGCTGAAATATTGCAATTGGTATACACAAAAGTATTCCATTGACTCGACGGTCTGTAATCTATAGATGCGTAGTATCAATTTCTGGTACAATTCGAAAATTGTCAGTACCTCCAGGACCCTAGACGGAAGTGGCCCGCGGTCTATAGCCCTCCAAGCTCTGTCGTAGACGTTGTTGTCGTTCTCCCTCGAAGACTAGGTACACCAATGTTTACCAGTACACGTTCACGGTCCAGCGTGCGTAACATCGGTCGGCTGCGCTTATACGCGACGAACCCGATCGATCTCCGTGCCCCGTCCCACGGGGAGTCGCGCTCTCCAACCCTCTCGGTCCTTAATTACGCGAGAGGTAGGAGGTAGTCTTTTTTTCCTCGTTGTCGAGTCCATCGCGGTACTTATCTGACTGCGCAACCGAATGTTCGAGGCCATCGGATGAAGTCGTAACGACGTAGCAAATTAAACACTAATTTCTACAAGGTTTAGCAATATCATTACAATATTCAAAGATGAAATCCTGGCCCTTGGAAGAACGCTCGAAGCTCAGACTCGCCGGGAAACGAAACTTGTTTCCATGGATGGAAGGATTAAAAAAGGTTTGCTCAACAGGTCGTTGAAGTCTAATATATCTTCCTCCTAAGCTAAGTTTGTTCCACCTTTATAAAACGAATATATCTCGCAAAGGGATTTGGATTCCCATTTCAAGATTTACTGGAAAATCTATTTGGAAGGTGGAAACATACCGAAGAACTTTAGTTACCCCCGTGAACCTCTCCTTTACCAAACGATATAGATTTCTTACCGACGCTCGAAATGTGCTAATAGGGACGGGTTCGTACGGGACGTCGTATTCTGGAAGTAGCTCGCGTTGGAACTTGGTCACCGAGGCGATCGTCAGCCTCCAGAGATTTCAGGTGAAAATGAACAATCTCCGAGATTGGTTTCGGAGAACATCGGATCCCTCCGAAGAAAAGGGGAACGGCGAGGTAAGAGAATGCGTTGCCTTCCTCGTCGTTCCTTTATCGTTCGAAAAAGAAGTAGCTCGTTGGCTATTCGCGAGTGGATTAACCCGTTCGTCGTCACGTCACCCGGAAACGGAATGACAGGACTTTTCATTAAGGAAATAAAAAAAAATAATTCCGAGAGCGAGGCGACAATGCAAATAAATTTGGATAGGATTTGTGAATTTGGCAGGATTAAGAAAATTACATTCTACGACAAATCTTCACTTATCTAACCTTCAACAGTCTCGAGACAAAATCCTAACTTCGTAGAAATTTTCACGTGTTAACCTTTCGCACTCGAGGCCATTTTTTCTGGTATCTTTTAGCAACTCGAGATGCTTTCTTAGCATTCTATTGTCACGAATGCTAAGCTTAGATCGACTTCGAACACGAGATCTCCAATTTGAGATTTGAGAATCAGTTTATCTCTGTCTCAACGACAATTATTCTATTGACACTTCGAGTTCCAAAGAAATTAAACCTAAAGAAAACTGAGAGTCACCTCTCGAGTGCAAAGGGTTAATATCCGAGCTAAACATCGAGCAGGGGTACGAAACTTGTTACAATTGTTGAGCGAGGTTACGCGCCGTAGGTTTAAGGATAAAGAAACACTCGTCCGGTAGTTTTCGGGGATCCTCGGTGGGAAAGTGCAAGCTCGTAGATAGAGTCGCGACGCATGGGTGCGCGGTGGACCGAGTCGAGGTGGTACGTGTGTCGGGGAGAGGAGTGTGGATGCCAGCAGGTATCTATCGCATCTTCTATCGCAACAGATGCCTGTTGCAACGCGGCCCGGGCGACGGTGGCACGTTTTTGGCGGTCCTGCGCGGAGTGCCTGGGTCTTTTTCCCCGCTCTCAGCTCCTTTCCCTTCGGGAAACGCTTTTCGCCCTTTTTACCACGTGATCGGACATTGACCCTTCGCTGGCGTGGCCGAGGGGTGGAAAACACGGGGTCTACGACGAGAAGGGACGAGACGGATGTTTCGCGTTCCTTTTTATCGATTGCGCGTACCGTTACTTTCAGATTCCGGGACGCTCCTCTCGTTATCGCCCACCGTAACAGTCGATCGAGCCAGTTACCTTCGAGCCGGCCTTGCGTCGTTGCCTCCTCCGACGACACCTGCGAGGAACATCGTAAACGAACCCCCGAAGAGACAATTCCCTCGAAAATGTAACGCCACCTCGTCAACCCCGATAGTATACCACGTACTTTTCTCTTCCTGTCCCTCTGTTTAAAACCGTGATTAGACCAATTCATCCTCAGATGCGTACAAGAAGAAAGCAGTGGTTCGTCGTTCCCTTCGCTGCTCGTCACCGCGCGTATTTTCCAAGGATTGAAAACCCGAGAGCCGGGGCATCGACGCGTTACGCTCGGAACGGCTCGCAAACCGACACGGTTCGTTTCCACGATATTCGTGTTACTGTCAAAACACCGTTCGTTACGTCCGTTCCGTGTTATAATCGAAGTATACGGGTGCATGTGGGCGCAACGATAAAGCAAAATATTTACCGAGAGCTCGCCGCTGGAAGAGCTAATTAAATAGACCACGATTTACGGGAGAGCCTTGCTATTTTCGCGTCGTTTTTCGCGACGCATAAAATCGACCGGTGTCGAAGCGCGGCGACGCATCGCGGCGGAACACTTTTCGTTTAATTAAATCGTATAACGGGCCCCCGAGACGCGTAAAAATACATCACGCCCGTTATTCCCCCCTCCGTTTCTGTCGCGCGCCTTTCAAAATAGCGCCGCGTCGTGGCTTCTAATCTGTTATCGGGCGTAATTTATTTTTAATGTCGGCTCGACGTTGCAGCGCGACGATGAAAATCGGTTGGCTCGTTGGTAGTTTTATTCGTGCGATATTTAGATTAGTCGAGTTCGCTACACATTGAAAACATGGGCTTGGAAATTATTAGACGTTTTCGCAACATTTTGCCGAAACTCGACATTGGATGGACATTGAACTCGGGAATGACAATGATAATCTGTGCGAAGAATCATAGCAGTCTCCTTTTTCGTTCTTCGTTACATTGGTAGTTAGACTGCCTGAATTATGCGAACAACTGTTACCGTTGACAGTTGAAATGACTGGTGTTATTGTCCAGTGTGGTAAGCATGAGTCCTACACATGAATTATATCCGTAACTTTTTTATCCATTGAATAAACAGTCCGTGCGTCCAACTGAAAATATATGGTTGTTTTTATTTTTTTTTTTTTGCTCGGCAATCATATTATATATAAAATAAGTTACCACAAATATATGTTTTTCAAAATAACCATATTAGAACATTTGTAAGAAATTTTTCATTAAACATAATATCATAATTGCAGCTTCCAGCGAAGTAGCTCCCTAGCTACTTATTTTCGTCCGCGGCAAAAGTTTTAACTGTGACCTCGTGTCATATTACACAATCCCGAAACACACCTTGTTCCGGCAACGAATTATAACCAAATTTGAGTGAATCGATACACGAAGGTGTCGGTTCATTTGGATAAAAATGACGACAACGATGACGAACCTTTGCTACCCAAGCTATCTCCTCTGTGTTACATCCTATGTAACGTGGTAATAATGTCCACGATGCGCACCTTCAAGGTCTCTTCGTCCGAAAGTAGAAGTAGCATTTTCCTTAGGCCCTATAGTGTTACCTACATGTCGGTGTCTATCGGATACGAAATCGACGCGACGCTCGTTGGTTAAAAATTGCCCAACTATCCCCAATACACCGTGCACACGATAAAATTGCATCGACCGCCCAATCGTTGGCCGGAAGATAGGCGTGGACGTCGCGAAAAAAGCTGGCAGCCCATGCGTGGAAAATTGTCCGAGTGGAATTGTCTCTCTGCTCGTGGCGAGGGAGGGAAACGGGTCGGGAAGGAGAGGGAAGTTGAAGGGAAAGAGAAACAAGCAACGAACATGACAAACAGACTGACGTGTACTCGCTGAAAGCATGAAAGGATAAACGAATAAAACTAGTATATTAAGGACGATAAATCTGTTTTTCTTCTCGTTTTTCCCCCTCATCGAGTAATTAAAAGTGCTCGTCCAACGGGGATTAAACGCAAACCGTACGAAGTCCTGCAACGCCGTTGATAGAAAAACGTCGGCTTTGTTTCGCTAAAATGGTAATTAAACCGTAGCGGGGACAAACGACGCGGCCGGAACGTCGGACAATGCTATTTTGGCCCGTACCCCGGAAAAGAACTTGAAAACGCAACATTACTCGTGTAATGTACCCGGTGCCGTCCCGCACGGTTAAATAGTTCCCGCTAAAGCAAATATCTTCGTTCGAATCAAAGCTGCGCGTCCTCTGAGCCCCGCTCCATTCGGACATCGCGTCCGTTGGACCTTGCTCCGAGACCGCTATGCAACGGATGGTCGTGGCAGAGTAAAACGATGAGATGACGGATTAAAACGTGTATTTTTTAGAAATTATTGTTAGTTCGAAATAAAACAAATAAACGGTTCGAGCAACTGTGGTTAGTAACAGCCTCGGTCGGAATAATCCTTTTCGAGGCTCTCGATAGTCGTCGACAGGTCGCAGATCTTTTTCCTAGTTAGCACTTAGCGCCGGTGAAAATCTGCTCTGTGCATTATGTAGAACGCTGTACACCTGTTGTGCCAGTATTCCTCCGAGGACGGACGGGGATCCACTCGACGAGCTAAGTAAGCACAACATTCCTGCCGCGCTTCTTGGGGTAACGAAAGCGCGGCGGAAACGCGGAATGCCAGCCAAGTAGCTGGGATAGAACGGGACCGATTCGGCTGGAAAGTTACGGGGTTGCATCAAATTACGACGATAATTACGCGTATTAAAATTCATTGCCTGTCAGAGCACATTTTCTACAATTTGCACGAGTTCCCTTCGGTGCCGTTTGTTTTTCCACGGTCTCCCAACGAAATTGATTCCGCCGTAAGTGCGCGCTCGCAACTGCACGGAACGATTAGAGTCAACCATAGTTCCGACTCTGGTATCAAGATCTCGACGATAGCGTTAGCGCAATTGTTAACCCTGAGATCCCCACCGAGGATACAAACCCAGAGCAAATTGCATTGTATTTATTTATCTATTTGATACCGGACGCTTCCATTTAAGACCTATCTATACGGAATACACATCTAGATATACAACCATTACGAGATGATCAACAGTACGAAATACAGTTTAAAAGTAGAACAATAAAAGCGATCGACGATGTCGACGAAGTACGCGGCGACGTAGTCGACGAGAACATGCGAGGGACGACGATGGGCCGATCGAGGCCAAAAACAAAAGGTGGTGACTCCAACGGTCGTCACTAGAGATGGCGTGAACTGCTACTTTTGAATCAATCGTGATTCAATCGCGCTCATTCTCAATCACGATGATTTTTTCGCAGTGATTTGTGATTCTTCGTGATCGCTTCTCTGATTGCTACAGAACATTCTTTTCACTTTTTACGAATTATTTTGTTCTTAGATTATATATGTATTATAATATGGTCTGAAAGCAATGTTAATATAATTTTAATACGATTTAAATTTGACTCATTTGTAACTTCTTGAATTTCCGCTAAGGAGAGACAGCGAAACACTAACGATAACAATTACCATAAACCGCTTCTGAAACGCCATCTTACGGATCACGGTCGTGATCGAAGTTTAATCACGACTGCGCTCGTGATTGTGTGATCACCGTGAAATATCACTCTTAATGATTGAATTGAAATCTGAAGTTTGGCGACATGTTTGTCTCGTTTCCTTCTTTGGGAAATGTTCAAAAGAGGAAATGAGACAAACATGTCGCCAAACTTCAGATTTATTCGAAGCCTAAGGTTTTGCCCATCACTGGTCACCACCACAGCGGAGCAGTCTGGTGTCGGATCGCTAAGAGTGACAACGTCTAACAACAAGTTTCACCAAAAATGATGTACCAACCGAGTCGAGTCTTTTTCTAATCGTCCCGCCAAAAGAGTTGCCGCCTACGAAAATATTCTCGCGTTAGAGGGATTGGTCGCGCGAAGGTGCAAACAACAGCAACAACAAAAAAAGAAATTCGGGGGAAACGAGATTATAGGCGCGAGCCACCCGCGTCGTTATGTACGTAAGATACCCGAACGTCGTCGACACGGTGCAGTGTTATCATAACCTAGTAACGCCAAATATTGATTTTGACACGTACACGTGACGGCCCGCTAGACGTAGTATATAAACGCCGCTGGTGAGAGGGAGAAACAGAGAGAGACGCACGCGGCGACATTTAAGCGTGCATATATTTGTGTTCTCACACATCTATCGAGGTTCTGTCGTTAGATAGGCGAGCAAGTGTATGCAGCGTGTTCAGCCACGTGGGGGAAGCACGCACACCAAACACGAGTGCTTCACACACGTGATGCAAGAAATCATTCCGGTGCCTGTCGATTCACGCACGCCGCGGCATTAGTGTGCACGCGTCAAATTCATGCGTCTACATACGTACACCTACACGCGTCGATGCATTATTTTGCATTCGGTACTCGATTAAATAGCGAAGGATACTTGGATAGTTACGTTACGTTTCAGTTGTTCGTTACTATACGAAATTAGTATATCTGATTTCCGAATCTTACGATATACATACCTATTGTAGACGTTCCTAAACAATTCATTTTTTCCGAAGGTTTTTTGAGGAATTTATGATGTTTATATATTTTTTTTTTCAGATATAAAACTGGCTTATGGTCGTGACTTTACACGTTGAAAAAAATATACGCGGTGTTGGAATTGTAAATAAAAAATCTTGGTTCAATTCGTATTCGTTTGAATCATTCGTGTGATCTTTGTCGGCTGATTTATAGCGAATAAATCGTTTCCATTCAGCTCTCGAGACGATGTTTCACATTCGGTTAGTAAGTACGTCATCGTACACGCCACGTAAAAGGAGGTCATGGTACAACGAAATAGCAATGATAACACTACTGTAAGTCCTGTCCCAACACACCGTGTTCCATAACATAAATTCATAGAAAATAAGCTCACTCGTGTTGAGAGCGACATCTGTGTCGTTTTCGCCAAGCTTCACGACTTTTGAATATTCTTTGTTATCTACGGTGCAGATTCCGTTACCTATGGTGTTCTGTTACTTACATAACTGTATGCAATGCATCGTAACTGCAATGCCAACTTCGGGTAAGATGCAATCTCCAAAGGTAAGGTTAACGAATTCAAGTATGTAAAAAATTAAAGTATGCATTGTACGTTGGACTACTAACAATTTAACAATTCGATATCTAATATTGAAAACAAATTTTCAATCGATTCACGATAGAAACTACAACACTCCTGTGATATTGCAGCAGTATAAGAGTTCGAGATTTATTGCTTTCAAATATCTAGGTACTCGGATATTTGGATTGTGACTTATCGCTAAACATAACGAAGTATAAATATGTTTTTTACGAACACTATTCCGTTACATATTCGAACATGTGTCGACTCGATTAGAATTCCCCGCCATTTTGGTTATGTTACTTTTGTTGGCTGAGTAAACGGTAGTACGCGTCGAACCGCTAGATGGCGCGACGAGTCCAACTGGCGTCTGAAAATATCAATATTTCCGAGACAAGTCAATGACTGCATTCTTCCTTATGTACGTTAAAAAAAAAAAAAACATTGCTTGATATGTCATTAAAAAAAGTGTCTATAATACCTAAAGGATTATTTGGTATTCTCTAGTCGTTATGGATCAAAAAATTTTTCGTCGCGAAAATAACGATGTCGATGCACCGGAAGTGACTCGGATTGAGAGGGAAAATCATATATTTTTAGCTAAATTTCATAATATTGCTGATTTATATACAAAAATGTCACATTTCTATACATAATATTTGCGTAGTGTGATCGTAGCGTTGCGTACCGACAACGAGGAGTCGAATGCCATGAAATAGAGAATGTAATCGTTGACGACGAACCAAGAACTCTAGGTGAATCCGCGAAAAATGACACCGCCATTTTAAAACGTTCAAACACCCGTGGCGGCACTACGTTTCGACGTGTCATCAGTAAATATATTTACCAGGTCGAAATAAAAGAAAGTAAATACACAAATCGACTCGTAAAAATTTTCAAAATATTTTGGTGAAGTTACTAAAATAAATTTATATGAAATTTTACCGAGAAATTCGTCTTGCAATGAACCTGCCACATTAGGTACAGTCAGCGACAACAGTATTCGCGACAAAAACGCCGTAATTTCTAGCTGGATGCTTCGGATGATAAAATCATGCAAGGCGCTTCCTGAGAAATATTTTCCTCGTAAAAAACTAACACGATTATGTGAATACAGTATCCTTCTACGATCAACGATTAAAAAGTTATGAATTTTCGTCGATCATTTATTGCACTCATCCTTTCGAGCGTGTTGAACGTTGCTGTACCACTAAAGCGAGGAAGAAACCGAGTGGTCTGTTCGACAGTCGCGGCCTATTAAAATATCGCACTGATTGGATGCAATTATACATGAATGTATCAATTTTTCGATACGATAAATCCATTTTTGCTACATGTACTTGTGGATATGTCTAGGTAACAATGCAACGCTTGATATCATTCCATTTTATGGCACACGAAATTTCTCGCTTTGTAAACAGAGCAATAGGAATTATTATAGATAAAGATAATGATGTCGATTTTCTAGACGATACCTACGACGCAGGCCATGAAAATTCTCAATTTCGTCGATAACGTCTCTCTTCGTGCATGTTCTGGTCTCGCAAAGACTGAATTGCAATTAACATTTAATAAACCAGTTTTTTTTGCATGTCTGTAGAATATGTACTGATTGTCATATGATGCGACTATATGCTTGACGCTACGAATCCCGGAGTGGTCGCTTTGTACAGTCCATTCCGATGTAATCGTTGGAAGGATTGGGAAAAATCATATTTCGATCCGTCAAATCGCAATATTACGCATGGGGCGTCATGAGAAACTTGTAGAGAAAAAAAAACTGACCCGATTTGGTGTATATAATATCAGCCTTAAACGTAGGCGAACGACGGTATGGATTATTGAAAATATATATTCTGGAAGAAACAGCGATAGATGTACGAGTCGACTGTACCGTAGACGCCACCGGCAGCCACGAGCGGTCGCTTGCGGTACAGTCGGAATCAGCAGGCTCTCGCGAACGTGTTGGCGGAACAACGAAATTGGATCGTTCGATTGCAAAATTAAGAGAGGGGCGTCATGAGAAACTTGTAGAGAAAAAAAAACTAACACGATTTGGTGTATATAGTATTCGATTTTAACGCGTCCCTGACGAGTTATTCGTTTTCAAAGTTTAGTATACCTAACGTATATCGGTCCGGTGTCGAACGTGACTGTACCAACGGACGCTACGGGAGTCCGCAGCCGGCATAGGTTCAGTTGGCAGCAGTACGCACAACGAGAAGCACGACCATGGCTGATATTTCGAACGAAGAACTTCGCAAAGAGATCACCGGTAAGTGACGATATCCTTCGATTTACCGAACCACGGGCTTCGATTATCGTAAAACTAAACTCGTAATCGCGTGTGCCGCGAATTATACGCGCGTTCGCGAGTAGGAATACGTAGGAAATCGGGCTCTTTGCTCTTGCGACATGACGACTTTGCGCGCACGTATGCGACGAAGTGGCGTGCCCCACGCCGGCCATTGCAATCGTGATACAACATTGTGTTTCCCACCTACGTACAGCTTTGTCGGGCAATTGCATCGCGTTACCGTCTCGTACAATCTGTTCCTGATTTTTCAACAAAATTTTTCGATGCCTTGGAAGATTCGCGATTTTCCCTCGGTTTTCTGAAAACGAACGCTTTCCCCGTCCTTGTTCTATATAGTATACGTTGTATGACGCGTCTTGACTGTGGTGGCGCGCGCCAGAAGCCATCGCATGCTTTCCATCTCGTCTCTTTCTCTAGTCTACAACGACTTCTGCGACGTGAAAAGCGATCCTCGGGATGGACCATCGTCTCCTTTTTCAGAATCTTTTGACGAAACCTTTCTCATTTTCTCGCTTATACATTACTAATACGGATATAACCTCGTTCCTTGAATTTTTCTCGTCGTTACTCTCGCTGTCTGAGAGTACATACGTCGCAACCGAGAATATTCGTTGATTCACGTATTTTCCCGCCGTCACGGACACTTAGAGATGTGTCCAATGTTCCATTAACATTTTTATCTTCTCCTGGAGTTCACGTACGTCGCCATTGATCTCTTTAATATTTCCTGCGAATTAATATCACCGATCCGACTCGTATTTCTGTTGCATTCGCGTGCAGTGAACTTTAGCGATTTTTCGTCAGTCCACGACTCGATGCATCGCCACGATCGATCGGCCAATGCAAAATAGGCTGTTTAAGGAGCGGGAACGACACGCTAAATTTTCACCGCGAGTCTTACTTTCAGAAATTTTTTTCTTCGCGATGCATGGATAATCGGAGACCGGCGCCAACGAGTAGCCGCCATTTGCGCTCAATATTTACTAGGCTTCCAACGCGGGAAACCACATTGGCCCAGTTTCTGTCCGACATAGTCCTATCCGAGCTTTCATTTTCGAAAAATAATTCGCGAACCCAGAATTTAAACGAATTTACCGATTATTACTGAAATCGTTGTTTCTTATCATTTGCGTAACTTTAAACATTCATTCGCCAGACATACAGAAATATTATTTGTAACGACGAATGGTCTGTATACTCGAAAGGCAAAAATTCTATGTATATTTTTTTTAATAGAAAAGAAATTATTTACATCGAATGCAAACCTTTTCTTTCTTGTAGCTATCCTTAAGGATGCCGACCTTACTACTATGTCGGCCAAGAAAGTGAGACTACAGATTGAAGGAAAGCTAGACATAGATCTAACCGAAAGGTAAGATTTGATCGAAGTTACCATCAAACACTATTCTAAGAATACTTAAATTTATATTTGGATTGTAAAAAGTACTTTGAAATAAAATGTGGATATTTGGATGCAGCAGGCACTTGTGTAGTCTAAATGACTCACGGGTTAGTCCATCTGTGTCCTAGATTAAAAGAAGGATCTCTGCGTGGAGCTGCTCTTTTAAGTTACCACCTCGTTCCTCCTTCAACATTTCCTTTATAAATGAACTTACTTTCTTACTTCTATCCAATACAAATGTCAACACCAACTAATCAAACCACAAAATATCTACAGGAAAAAGGAAGTAGACAGTTTAGTCATGGAGTGTTTACAAGAGAAGCAAGATGGAGCTAAGAAGAAGAAGAAGACTGCTAGCGAAGAGTCTGAAGATGGTGAAGAGGAGGAAGAAGAAGGTTCAGAGGAAGAGGAAGAAGAGGAGGAGAAGAAACCTGCCAAAAGAAGTCCTGCGAAGAAAGCGATGAATAAGCGTAAGAAGGGCTCCTCAGACGACGAAGAAAGCGCTAGCGACGACGATGCTAGTGACGAAGAGTACAGCCCAAAGAAACCAAAAGTTACTCCCAAGAAAAGTATGCACACAAAATATATTGAGAGTTTGCGTAAATTACTTTCATCGTAAAGTTTTCTAGTTATACATTTGTATTTCACTTGTATTAGATAAACCTGGAAAGAAAGGAAAGAAGAAGGGTAGCGACAGTGACAGCGACGAAGATTGGGGCAAAAATAAGAAAGCTCAAGGTGGTGGTGGAGCAAAGAAAGGTGGTGGTGGCAAAGGTAAGGGTGGTTATACTCGAGCTATCACATTATCCCCGGAACTCGCAGCTGTGGTTGGTGCCGAGCAGATGGCTCGACACGAAGTCGTAAAGAAAGTCTGGAGTATTATCAAAGAAAGGAATCTCTATGTAAGTATTAGACTTTACGCAATTTGTAAACGTATTTCACTTGTTATACTTTCGAGATCGAATACTTAACATTTGTTGCTGTTTTACAGGATCCTAAGAATAAGCAGTTCGCAATTTGCGATGACGAACTAATGAAAGTAATTGGAGTAAAACGTTTCAGAACTTTTGGTATGATGAAGTACCTCAAAAATCACTTTGTAGATTAAACCATCCCAGAACCACGATCTCTGACAGGTTATAAACATTGTATAACATATTCCAAGGTGCAAAGTGCATCTCTCCATCTTTCTCACACGATACGTACATAAATACATATACATAAAAACACACGAACATGTTTCTTGCGACTTAAGACTTTAGCCATGTTTACACCATTCCGATGTATTCTGTTGTCCATGGTAGCTGCTTTGTCCCACTACACGTTTGCAATGTAGAACATTAATTTATGGGCATTATTAAAAGCACACGGCTCGTTGAGATTGTCAATGGTAGCCCCAGAATAATGCGTCAGCAAATGATGACCCACAAGTAGGAATCCGCGTAGATTCGGTCAACGTCGATACGAAAAGGTAGAGCCGATACCATGGACGTTTATATGATTTCGAAATGTGAAAAACATTAAAGTGGCCGATAGTCAGTAAGCTGGTTTTAAGTCAACGTATTCAGAATTAACGTTTTATCGTTAGTTTGGTGGTTCTCGTAAACTTGCCTCTTTTATCGAACATGAAAATACAGTGTGCCGTTGTGGCAGTAAAATTTAAACAGTAGAAAATGCTTGAAATCATTTTAATATGACTTAACTGTTCTTTCCTTTTTTTAATTTTATTCTTGTGACATTAGTTTAAATAAATGATATGATTGTAAAGCATCTCGGGTACGTATGTTTTCGAAGTTAATGTATGTATTTTGTATTCGATCTAAAACTAATTTTCTTGCATTAGAAACTACCGCCCAAGTATCACACATATTTTCATCCTTTTTATTTTAATGCGAATTAATTTTCGATGATTGATGTAACAGAGAGAGAGACAAAGAATTTTGTTAATAAACGAGAGAAAAAGGTATGTGATGAAGTTAGAAAAAGTGCGGTAAAAATAAAGAGAAAGACGATGCGAAAAAAAATCAACATCCTGTACCTCTTCTGTATAATAGCTACATTATACACTGAAATTATTACTAAGCGAAATTTAATTGTATTATCGTGTAATTACTAATTATTGTCGTAATATAGGTTTCTTGGTGTAAAAAAATTGACCTAACTCTTAAGATGTAATGGTATTCAGTGAAGGTACGATGTGTGCATACTAAATCACCGTATGTGCAGCACTGCGCGATGTTGAAGTATAGGAAATAAGCGGTTTACGGCGCGAGGTATGGAATTAATCCTGGGTACGGATAATTATACCTTGATGTTTGGAAAAATTCTTGTATTTTGAATATAAATTAATGATCGCTGGCCTAAATCGATGAAAGCCACAGAGAAGAAAGAAATCATTGCAAACATTTGATGATAACGTGAGAAAACATAACGGTACAGATTAAAAACGAAACGTGTGTACACAAAACTACAAATTATAGGTAATATCAGTTTGTTTTCTAAAGAAAAGGAAGTGCGGTTTGTGCCCTGATATTTCGTGAATGTATTTGAGAACATCATTAAAAGATATTGCTTTCATTTTTTTTAAGAGTGCCCTTTGTACATTCATTCCCCAGTGATGCTCTATACCCTCATTTATCCAATTCATGTCTCACGATATTTATTATACCGAAAACATGTCTGCGTACATCTACGAAATTCATAAATGTTCGAGCTCATCCTCCAAGAAAGACAAAACATGTTGGTTGTCGTCGCGTCGTCCCCGTAGACCGAATATGTAAGTCAAGAGTTTCTTCGTGTTTGTGTAATTATCTCTCCTCGTTTGAACTTCTTTGTCTCGAGGTGGAGCGGCTTGTACGTAAACACCGTATCGGAAGTTCGACTTGTATGTTTGCGTGCTGTGCGTTGCGCATCGACTTATGCTTGCCTAAACAGAAAAATAACTTTCTCCCCTCTCTGGCGTCTATCGTTAATCGACATTAATTACCAAATGCAACGCTCTGCGTCTCAATTCCCAGACATTTGAAGAGTAGTCTTTATCGACGAACGGTGGAAGAATGTGGACGTCCGTTTGAACTGTTTGATCCTGACAAATCTTCAATTGGGGTCCTCGTTCCGATACCCTTGCCAATTGTGACATTAATATCTCGCCAGTTTCAATACATTTACTTACATCTAATCGCTTACGTTTCTTGTGCTTTCAGGTCTCGGACGTCCTCGTACACTTGGAACAAGTACACGTATTCCAGATGATTGCGTATAAAATCGAGAGCCTCGTAAACACATCTGTCGACGATGATATTCGTTCAAATTTTCCGTCTCATACAATTCTACATTCGTCGTAACTACCTGTCTGGATCTTTCCCAAAATTCTCAGCAGCCTTCCTGGAGCTGAACACATAATATTTCCCCCTCCACTTGGCGACTCCGTTGTTTGGATTTCCCGGGATCAGCGCCCCTTGCCTAGCAATGAACGTCCACGCGCAAAATCCTAGGAACTAGATATCAGAAAAAGAGAGTGAGTGGGAGGGGAAAGGGGGGGTGGTTGCGGAACGAATTAATTAACCTAGGAAAGTCACGTTCAACGTGAACTTTGGTGTTCTGTGCAAACATTGATTCCGCCCTGTCGTGCGTAATCTTACCTCTAAATTTATGTTCTCGAAGTCCTTAGTAGTGTTGGGGTAGTAAAGGGTGCACTCGCCGCATTCGGCTGTAAAAGGATATCACGATTCAATTAAGACGCTACGTGTTTCCGACGCAGGCGTCGTTGTATACGTTTTATTACTTATCAATGTGCCCATAGATCGTTCCAACCTCTCACCGTCCGTGAAAACTTCCTCTTTGGATAACATATCGTCTAATAGTGCTTCGTCGTACACGTTTACATTCTAGAATGTACTCTTGATTAGCTCGTTGTAGACAAAGATCTGTGTCTATATATATATATATATTGTATAGCCGAGATTATGTTTAATAATTACCTTGGTACTCAGGCTTTGTAATTCCCAAAGGAAGTTGTTGATGCTGCTCAGTATAATTACTTCGTCCTGGAGTCCCATCCATATGTCTGCTAAATCGATGAATTGCGGCTGGGCAAGTCCAAAAAGATGATTTCATGCTCAAAAGGAACCTTCGAAATAAAGCTTACGAAACGCATGCTTACATATACTTGGACAGTGGGGATTGCGGTTCTGTATCTAACAATGTCGTGAAGCTTAAAAAGACGCCCTTGAAGACGTTCCATTAGACTCTGTACCTCCTTCTCGCTATGTTCTACGTCGCTTAATAATTTTCTAAAACAAAAGAAATAACAATTCAATCGATGTGAAAGTCAAGCCCTCGGGGGCTGTAGCGGTGTTTGTAGCTACAGTACGAGCTTAGCAACCCCGAGGTACCCGAGTTAAAGGGGGACCAGCGAGCCCCAATAGATGAGAAGTTAGAGATACTGCAAACAGTAATAAAACAATGCAGGAGTCATGTAAGACGATGATAAGAATAATGGAAATAAGCTAGCATTAAATAAATGAATGAATGAATGCGAAAGTCAAATCATTGTTATCAATCTCTAAATTAACCTGATGTAAATTTCTTGCTGTCGACACGCCGCCAACATCTCGATAGCCCACTGTACGTTCTCCGTCGTGAAACTGCCAAATGGTAGTATTTCCCAGTAAAGGTGTCCTTTTTCTACGACTGCGGTGAATCTGTAAATCTTCGACATGAGACGTTCCAAAAATTCCATGATGGAATCGTGGCTTCTTTTCGTGGCTTCTTGCAAGATAGTCGGCACTGAAACGACATCGCGACGTTAGAGATCGTCAGGATTTCTCATCTTTCCTTTACAGTACTGACTTACAGTCATCGATGCCTTCTCCTCCTCGTTGGCAATCTCTGTTAAACAATCGTATTCCCGCGACTATGCACATGAGTTCCATCAGTTGCTCCTCCTTCTCGCGTTTAGACATTTTTACGTACGGTTCCAATTCGGAGGGCTGGAAAACGCTATGGAGAGCCACCGAAACTTCTCTGCGCGAAATATAATTGTCTCATACGTTGTTCAATATTTAGTCAACTTATCATCATTAATTACCGAAGCACTGACGGTACTGTAGGATTTCCAAGGCCACTTAGAACTGTAATAACGACTAACATCTTCTGGTAAAGTCTTTCCGAATCTTGTTTATTACCGATTTTCTCAGTTTCGCAAATTTCGGTCACCATCGGTCCAGTCTTTTGATGCAGACGTAACCTGTGTCGCTTGACAGTTTCATCTAAACGGGAACAGTTCATGTAATCTGTAGATATTATTTTTGAGTATCGTTCTTACCTCTCTCGTGGTAGTGTTTCCCAAAGTACAACTGATTTTTCAGTATCGTTAAACTTGGCTTATCTTGGTCGCATATTTTCTCCGCTATCGCCCGAGCAATTTTCTCGTTTTCGTCGTCGTCGGTTTTAATTTCATATGCGGGACTCAATTGAAACAAAGTGATCTGCGATGAAACGGCAAACATAATTTTAATTAGAATAGGCGTAATAACTTAGGTTGACTCTAAATTAGAATCAGTATTATTCACCAGGAAGGAAGCCAGGTCCTTGGTCGCGTGCACGCCGTTTTCTTTGCATACGTTCACTATTCTCTTGATCAATTCCTTTCGCAAGTTCTCCATCGTTGATGCTCGAATACAGCTATCGATACGACTTTTAATATTTCAAACTCTCGTTGATCCAGCTTTTCGGTCGACCAGCTTTTCGTTTTCGTATTGTTTGGTCGATATTCAAGTAGACGCTTGGCGACGTGCATAACATTATATCTTCTTCCGTAAGAAATACTCCTGCGAAAGCTTCGTGTATCGTGTAGCTTCGTAATTCTCTTTGCAGAGGCGATTATCAATAAACTTCAATTAATAACGGTAAATAAAGGGTAGGTAAAACTCGTGTAGGAATTGTGTTTTACTAACAGTACTAACGTGGGTTGTATAACCTCTCCCAAATAAATTGAACTTTTACATAGTTTCGCATTCAAATTCTCAAATTCTCGTACATTTTTTGCACAATATTATGGCAGGAGAGAGGTATAATTACAAATCACAGCAAGGGTTACGCAATTCGCGGTTTGAAAACCGTATTATTAGCGCGCCGCGGGCTTCGGGTGAGTTCGTGCGCGTTCGTGCGTGCTCGATGGCTCGATACGCGGGAGTGGTGGTAGTCGCGGTTTTGTCAGAGGGGTCGCGACAGTCTGATTTAGCGGCGGAGTCAGGTTGGGTGGTTAGTATCGTGTGGTGCGCGTCGCGAAAGAGGATAGAGAGCACGGAACGCAAGAACGCGACAAAAGAGGTTGTCATGACGTTCGCGTGAGACTCGTGCATTGTGTATCGTCGCCAAGAAATATGCCGAGTGATATCTGGTGCTCGAGTTGGCGATGTACCGTCAGTGGTGCGACGATGCAGTGCAAGTTGGTGCTGGTTTTGGTGCTGGTCACGATTCTACCTGACGTTTACACCGAGAGCCAGGGTAAGTCAGGTTTTTCTCTCTTGCTGTACGAACGAACGAAACAACGATGAATCTTTTGTATCGAGACGCTTTTCTTCTTGAATGTAAAAGTTGAAAGTAACGAAGTTCTTTTTCTCGGCTTGTCCGGGTTAGAAGCGTCGCGTGCACTTTACTGTCAATCCTCATTGACAACGTAAATCGTAAGTGGCAATTTGGTCACGACTCCCGCGACATTCGTGGGGATACAGAATTTAAACAATCGCGATGACTCGAGTTGCACACGTTTTCCGACGATCCATCGAGACACGTTCGTGTTGTTATCGATGTTTGAATCAATGTTATCGATGTTTGCACAAAAGAAATCTTGGATTGTCTGAAGTATGTTTCTTTCTGTTCATTCATTATTTAAACGAAATTAGTGAGCAATGTAGCGATGATTGAACGTATGTGCATCGTTAATCGTGCGCGCGCCAAACACTTTCTACCAACCTAACAATGCAAATGTAAACTCCGGTAGCGTGCATCCGCAACACCTACAGGCAGAAATATTCTGAAGACATGTATCGCGAAGATTTATTAAATGAATAATTATTCCACCGCATAGAAAAAGGGAATGGAGGGATAGAAAGAAAGTAGTCCTTGTTGAAATTAACCATCTCGCGTTTTCGAGAGATAGCGACAGGAGGATCGTCAGACGGATCGATAGAGATTTACGGGGCAAGCCGTACGCGCGTAAATACTTAATCCATTCGATCGTATCGAGAATTTATGGCAAGACTGGTTTAATCACGTATCGAGACACGTTATACACGACGAAAATAAGATCGAGCCTATGTATTATGTACGCGTGTGAGCCTATGTACGCGTGTCTCTTCGGTTGGAATGCGTTTGGCGCCGAGCTATAACGTTACCATCTATTTACTCGACTCGTCGTTGGATTTCTGAAAAAGTTACGCTATGAATAAAGGCGAAAAGACTCTCTTGTCATCTTTGACTTTAACGTTTGAGAAGATGACAACCGGATATTAATTTTCTCAGGGGGGTTGTTTCCTTCCAGTCCACCTCGAAATCAAAAATTGTCCAAATCGTTTCGCGCGGAGCACGGAGAATAACAATCAACGAGTACACGTAATGATTTCTATGCGACGTTTATTCGTTCGAACGGTTACGTAGTTCGATATATTCACTGCGCGACAATTTACACAAAGGCGAGGTGCGAGGTCCTTTTCAACGAAACCTCACTTTATTTTACAATTCGATTTCGAATTTTTACTCAACAGGTGGCGTAATAGAAAGACATTCTTTATTCGTTATTCGACATTTATGTTTGGATAAGAATCTCTCCCATCTCTGGTCGACTCTGACTTGAAAGCAAAACTGGCAGGGCGCAAGTGCATTGTCTAAGCTGAGCATTGGAGTGCAAACGGTTGACTCACAATCAGCATGATGCTCGCCACGAAGACATTGTTTCCAGGAGTCATAGGCTCGCTGCCAGTGGTGGGATCGAGCTTATCGAGAATAACATGAGACTCTTTTACTAATTAAGTAAATTAAACTCAGAGGTCGCGCTAACGAATCCGTCGTAGAAGCCCGTTGTCGAGGAAACGATTTCCATATTTCGTTTTCTAGGCGATACAGAAACGAGCTTTAAGTTTTCAAGCGAGAAATAAAGGCAGCAACAATGCCTTAATTATTCACGACGACGCGCGATCTCGCGGACCGCGTTCGTTATTTTCTCGTCCTTTTCGGAACGCTCGACGGACCGTGAAGGTACTCGTCGAGAGTCCTTGAGAGTGGCTATAGTTCGCCGAGTCCGTCGACTGGTACAGATTTCGCGTGACGATTCCAACCACTCGTCGTGAAACGTACCTACGTCTCGTGTGTACAGTTTTTCCGCGCTTTTCTGTTCACGCGGACGAACTAGGACACAGCTAGTGTGTCGCAATTGCGGTGTATCGTATCGCTTTGTCCTCTCGATGTATTGATATCCTTGTGCCTCATTCGTCGCCGAATGGATTCTCTTTCCACGGGTTTTCACAGTTTCGTTTTTGTTTACCAAAATGGGGGTCCCCCGCAGAGTACAACAATCATTTCTCGATACAACAAATTTCACCTTCGATGTAGCGACCTGAATCATTCCTCGTCGTTTATCGCATTCTCACCGAAGTAATCCCGCGAAGATATCGTGACAAACGTTCATTTTTAGTTTTCATTGGATGCTTTTATCGCAACCGACTCGAGTCGAGAACACGAAGATGTTATAGATAGATAGATTATAGATACTATCTATAATATTTCCATGATCGAGAGTCTGCAGAGATCGAATGGAAGTCGAAACGGTTGTCGAAAGTCGCAGACGTCGGGTGATTCATCGGGACGAGTCGAGTTTCATCCGCACTCGAACTCAACCGACCGATCGACCATAATCGATGATTAATCCATTCTCCCGAAGGCGTTGACGCGGTCGAGTGGTTCTTCGAGTTGACGAGGTGTGTACGCGAGCACCGAGCCACTCGTTCGCGTAGCGAGTGCAATTGTTGAACGAGGAAGCTTGTTTCCGCTCTTCCTGACGTGGAAATACTTTCGTTCCTCGTTCTGGTAGTTTGCAGCGGAGAATGCAGACCGCATTCTCTCCCGTGGCTATTATATTCGCTTTAATACAAATTTAACTTCGCGCTGGGGGTTAATTTGCATCAAAGCCTCGGCAGCGACGCAAAGTCGACTGCGGAACCGGTTTCGCCGACCTGGACGCGTAAACGCCCGCGTCCTTAGCTCGCATCGTCGGGAAGAGCTGCCAAAATCTACTTGAAACGTCTCTTTACAGTATTTCTTGGGTGACATCAATATTGTATGGAAATTAGTGTATCGAGAATTTATTGAAAATTGTTGTTACTTTATTTATTTATTTCAATATATACGGGCGTAGCCCATTATGAAGTCAATGCAGTGTAGCAATGATAAACAACCACATTTTGCTCGTTAACATACGTTACTTATATTTTAGCGCGTCTGAAACGTAACTTTCAGAGAACATTTTTCTCGCGTTTAAACGTTCGAGTCACGTTTCTCGATTGCGTAAATGTATTAAGCGCTTCTTCGAGCCGACGGGTTACTCATCGAGACAGTGAGAATCGTTAGCGACGTGCAACGGAGAACTCGACGACCTCGCAACTTCCGGTCTCCGGTTTGTCATACCGATTTCCCTGCGAAAAGAGTGAAACGATTCCAGGAACATACCGCGTCCGAGCAGTCGATTCATTCTTTCGTTAGATGTCTTTATTTTCGTTTGAATCGAGTTTGTATCGGTACAAGCTCCGCGAATCATGGACAGCTTGAAATTAAAAGGCACCGGGCGCTAGTATCAAGTAAAAGCAACGATTACAGGGAGAAACGGTTATGCGAACTCTGTTCACGGGTACAACCGTTCTGTATTTGCTTTAAACGAGCTAAAACGATCTCCATCAGTGTCGATCGTGGCAGACCCCCTCTTCTTTGCGTCGCGTCGTTCATTAAGTGGACGGTCGTAATTATAAGCGGCGTCTATAACGTAGAAGGTCGATTCAGCGCAAGTTCCGCTTATCGGCGACTGCTCTCAGTCAGCCGATTTACGACTCTCCTCATCCTCTCTGCCTTTCTCTCTGCCTGCATGCAGAACAGCTTCTTTTTCTCCGTTTTCATAACCCACATCTTTTATGTATACCGCAGTTCTACGCGAGTTTGCGCGCTTTTTTCCCTTAATCCTAGAATAACTCAAGTCTTCCGGGGTCGTTCGCGACCCCCTTCCAGCTTCATTTTTATCTAGCCCGGATCGGCTGAATTTATGATACCCGCGGAAGAAATACAATTCACGATTAACTTCGTTAATCTCAACTCTGTCGTTTTCGTGCCTCGGTCCATGGGTTTCCTGTTCTTTAGGCGAAGGATCGACGATACGTAGAAATCGGTTGTTGGCGAGTGTAACTGTAAAACAGGAACATGCGTCAGCTCCGTTACAATCGGGAAAACGCGTGCACGTGTTCGCGAATCGAGTAAATCCTGTAGTAAATGGCTCGCGAGCAGTAACGGATCCAGCCTTATCCGTGCTCGAGGTTAAATATTTTGAAGTGACCGTTCCTTTTCTAAAATAATCGAAGTTTTTATTTCTTTGACGTGAAATCACGACGTAGCTCACTCTTCCCGTCTTTTCTGTCATCCCCATCCTTTTCAACCCCACAAAAATTGCAGTTCCATCGTGTTTGGTCGTTGCGAGCGAATGTCCGCGCTTTCGGGGCCATTCAGTTCGGAATTTATCGTTTGAAAATAGACGCTGTCGCGTTTTGTTTACGAGTAGTTCGGCCCATCCCCCAGGAACAATGGGAGGCGATCGCGACGAATAAATGATCAGAATCGCATTAGCGAGGCAAATGTCGAGCGTTTGTTTGCACCCGTCGGTCGATTGCTCGATGGCTCTCTAATTAATCGTCGTAATTGCAATTCTCGTTGCACTCCGATAACCTGATAGAGAGAGAGAGAGAGACAGAGAGAGGGAGGGCACACCATTGTCTTCGATTTGGATGCGCAACGAAGTCAGCGCTACCGCCAACTTTATTATCATCGTCCCTCGTCGTTCTCCGTCCACGGTCCAGCGATTTCGTGGTCGAGATATGCGCAATTCCCGTCCGCTTAAAAAACGAGAATTAAAATATAAGCAATAAGCGCGACACAAAGCCTCGTAGAAGTTATTAATTATTCGTGTGTGGCCACAATGTCGCATCGTCTTCGGGTTTAACATATACACCGAACGCAAATAAATTGAGAGGCATTTTCTTTTTAACAGTTCGCGTCACGTTTTCATCGATTCGAATGGTATATTAATTTCATTAATTTAAACGTTCGAGCAATTGTCACCGGATTTTCATTTCATTTTATCGTACAAATGAAGGATTTTTAATTTTGATTTCGTACTCTCCGCAAAGGTGGTCCTCGGAGGAATTTATTATTCGTATAGTTTATCGCGTACGTTATCCAAAAAGAGTCACTCA